TTATTTGTTATCATTACTTGTTAATTTTATTTTTTGAAAAATCGATTCTCAAATATATGAGAATGAGAAAACCATCCATTAGCTATGGAATGGCTAATCCCATATAGATGGGTTTTGCAATTCTCCTTGGAACGGTCATTCCCTTCTAAAAGATATATCAATCATGAGAATATGAATGAGTAAGGGAATGATCAATACATTTCAACGTCATTCTCGCATATCAATCATGCCATAAGTCTTAAAAAGTCAAACAAAGCAAAGTGATTAATAAATTAAATATTCGTGGTTTTTTAAGACCTTTTCAAATTCCAAATGAATATCATGATGCTTCTAGACATTTTTATTAGAATATTCACTTGTGAGTTGTCTCACATCGTTTATATAGGAAAAATGGACCTATGTTATAAGTCTAATGGACTACTCTTCCTTCCACCAATTGATTTTGGGATGGAACCTCATTTGGACTTCATATGGGCTTTCCCTGTTATTGTGCGTTTCAAGTGCGTAGGACCGCACCGTTTTCCCCCCATTTCTTACATGGTATCAGAGCTGGTTCTATGGGGACCTTGCGATGACGTACCTGTTTTTCCCACGCACCCGTTTTACCCTCTTTTCTTACATGGTATTAGAGTCGATTCTATGTGAGACCGTGTTATGACGTACTCGTTTTCTCCACGTACCCGTTTATGGGAGCCTGTTTCTAGTAGGGCTTGGGCACCCACCTCCGTATATGAGCTTGGGCTTTTTTATTAAGGACTCAGAAGTGAGGGGGCATATTAGAATATTCACTTGTGAGTTGTCTCACATCGTTTATATAGAGAAAATAAGCTTAATTTATAAGTCTAATGGGTTACTCGTCCTTCCACCAATTGGTTTTGTGATGGAACCCCATTTGGACTTCATTTGGGTTTTCCATTTTATTGTACGTTTGACGTGCGTGGGACCGCACCGTTTTCCTTTGTTTCTTACAATTTTAAATACACAATGTTTTCTTAAAATCTTAAAAAACTTTTAACAATTTGGATTGAATACCCGTGTACATAAGCTACAAGTTAAGATATAGTTGATTTTATGTAACATACTCATTGTGTATAATATACAAATCTCATGCCACATAAGATGTTAGGCATATTCCACTGTTTATATGAGACCGGAACTGAATAATATTATGCATACGCGTCGAGGTTGAATCCTTAACACTAGCGCATAACTTGTGCGATGCACGGGGATTCAATATGCAATGATGATTATAATATTAGATGATGAGATATACGTTAATAGTAGAACATGTAGAGAATTAGAATAAAACACAACCACATATATGTCTACATATTTGAAAATAAAATTAAAAACACGACCATTTGCTTTTGAAAAGTTACATTGTCAACATCTAGCGTGGTACCAAATTACGGACATCAAAATAAAAAGTTGAGAATTCGGTAGGATACTCCATTACTTTGGTCTTCCCATGAATAATGAGTTTGAACTATGCGATAGTAGAATGTATTTACCAATATTAATTTTTAATCAGTAATTGCAAATGACATATGCTCCACTCTCCTCGAATTTGTCACACATCTTTGGAATATTAATGACACAAATTAATCCATTTTTGCGGTCACTCTATAAAAATGGCAATACATAAATACAATTTTCAAAAAATAAACTAAAAATATAAATATTGATAACTACTATTAAATCACATAATGAAGAATACTAACTCACTATCGTGGAAAACGATTTTCAAATAACTTCGGAAAGAGGTATTAAACGTCATATTAAAGATGTTGTTGGAAGTTTTAAGATTACCCTTATATTTCTTTTAAGATCCTTGATTAGGTCCAACGGTTGATCCATGACTTTATTTTGAAAATGTGAAGTTTATTATTATTATTTATTTTATTTATGTGTATTGCATTTCATTTGACCGTGAATGTGAGCTTATCTACAGACAATTTTTTGTGCATATATTTGCACTTATTTTCGTAATTTTTAAAATGTGAATTTATATGCATATTAGCTTATTTTTGCAAATTTTGGTGGAAATAAGACCACTATCCCAAGAATATACCAAGACTTGATTTTTTAATTTCAATTTTGGTGGTAAAAAAATTATTAAAATAATATTATATTATTATCTCTCAAATATATATTTTTTAAATGGTAAAACGGAATGTTAGGAATTTGAGCTTCCCAAGAAATTTTATGTCCTTATTTTTTTAAATCCGATATGTTAAAACTAAACATTAGAAATGTTTAACATTTACAAAATTGTTGGAATTTTCGAATCCAACAATATATTGGGGGTATACTCGTTTTCTTTTTTTCATAAATCTACGTTTTCGATTGTTGAGATTTGAAAATTATAATATTAATTTGGGATATACTCGTTTTTCTTTTAAAGGTACATAATAAAGAGGTTTGAAATTATGAGAATCCCTTACAGTTTATCGTCTTATTTCTATTTAATCTGATTTAATTCTGTTTTTTATTTTTTTGTATTGGCATGTCTGACTGCTTTTGATGGTTCGGATTTCAAAGTCCCGACAATATTTTTTATATACTCGTTTTTTAAATCAACTTTATAAAAAGGAAAGTTAGATTTAATGAATATCCCCTAAAATTTTATCTCTGTTACTTATTTCCGATTGCAGTGATTTGAGAATCTCAACAATATTATGAGATATATTCATTGTTTCTATTCTAGATAATAAGAAATGTAACAATGTCGATTTGATTCCGATTTTGGGAAGTAAATTCCATATATTAGATAGTTATCTCTTAAATCCAAAATATTTTGAAATTAGGTGTTAGGAAGGTTAGGATTATGAAAATCCCAAAAATTAATTCTATTTATATTTTATTTAATATATGTGTTAAAACTTCCAATTTTGAATGTATAACTCGTTTCCGAATAATTTATGTGTATTTTTTATTCAAGAATAAAATATCCAAATAATTAGAGGTTAACGTGTTCATATTCTACACTTCTTAAATATTAATAAACTTTATTTTAATGTATTCTTCGTGTTCAAACTAAGAAAAAATAATTGAAACTTAGGTCGCATAATTCCCATATCCGAAATTGTTAAAAAAGGTACAAAAATACATAAGAAAAATACACCAACTTTTTTTTAAAAAAAAAAATATAAAACACAAAATGAATAAGTAAGAACTCATTTTAACAAAAAAAGAAAAAAAAGAGTAAACATAAGCCTATAAAAAACTCAAATTTAAAAAAAAAAGTTTAGAACGCAAAAAAAGGAATATAGATATTTTAAAAAACATTTTGAACAAACTTATTATATACAATAAATCATAAATTTAGGATGAGAATTATAATTACTATATCAAGTAACTGTCAAACCTTTTTATATAGATATAGATGTGAATAAATCAACACCCGAAACGGGTGAAAATATCATTAGCCTACGTATAGGTTTCGACTAAAGAGGACTTAAGCTCGCATGGTACATAATATAACAACGAAAAATCAATAATTGGGCTAATAGGTGCATTTGCAGGGCTAAATCTAATATTAAAATTACGGGCTTAATCTAATGAAAGCGAAAGAAACGGACAAGCGGATCCACCACACGTGTAAGTAGCCCGAGTGATAGTCTAAAACGTGTGTCTCTCGGGGGCTCCATCGGTTGTGATCCTTTGTTTTGAAAATTGTAGTGGTGCGTTTTATATGCATGAATGAGTGCTGAATTTTCCACAAGTGATGATTGTAAGAATCGGGAGTAAAACGGGTACAGTCCTACGCAGATGAAGCGCACCATAAAAGGGTGAGCCAAGATGAAGCCCATGTAAGATTCTATCCCTAAACCAATTGATGGAAGGAGTAACCCACTAGACTTATAAGTTGGTCTATTTTCTCTGTATAAACGATGTGGAACAACTCACAAGTGGTATTATATTCTAATGCGCCTCCTCACGAGTGGTATTATATATATTCTAATACCCACCTCATTTGTGAGTCCTTCATATGAAACCCAAGCCTGACTGGTTGTGTGCCCAAACCTAACTGAGCTGGGTAACGGGTACATCATCGCACGTATCACGAAGAACCGACTCTAATACCATATAAGAAATCGGGAGTAAAACGGGTGCAATCTCACGCAGATGAAGCGGCTATAACAAAGTGAGCTCATATGAAGCCCAAATGAGGTTCCATCTAAAAACTAATTGGTGGAAGAAGGAGTAGCCTACTAGGCTTGTAAGTTGGCCTATTTTCCCTGTATAAACGAGTAGGACAACTTTCAAATGGTATTATATTCTAATACTGATGGCCAATATGAAAAGGGTGACGACCACCACTGCAATATAAATAAAAAGACAAAATATTATTTTACATTTTATTTAGAATACTTACATATTTGTACCATTGAGTCGAAAAAAAATGGGAATCGACTAACAATCAATTATCTAAAAACATCTATGATGTATTGAGTCTAGTCTTGTCTACGTGGCATGTAAATAAACTCAAGTCTTGAATAACATATATAAAATTATGTAAAATTGATAAAATTCACTCCAATGCAAAGGGACTAGGTCTTTATTTCGGTCTAAAATAGACTTAAGGGTAGATCGAGTCTCTTTTTCTAGTTGTCATATCAGCATGACCCAGTCTATTTTTGTTTGCATTTGAGGGTATATGTTTTTAGACTCGGTTTATTTCTTATGTGAGATACACTTTTTTCTGATTGAACTCAAAACATTGCAGAGGTTCTAGTCTATAGTGTAGGGTTCCTACTCTTAACTTTGACCGCCCATATAGACTCAGTTATATACATACTTCTAATAAAATTCAAATTGATTTACCATTACAAAACCCATTAAATAATAAAAGAAAATGGTTTTAATTGCGGCTCTTCATCTGCCTATATAAATACTCCTCTCCACTCTAGATAACTCATCAGTCCCTCACACTTCCTCTCTCTCACATAAAACGCACGCAAAACGCGCAAACACACAAAACCCACCGCCATCGCCTGAAGNAAAAATAAAAATGTCCATGGCAATGGCCACCAAGGATTCCGGCTGGTGGCTCTTCACCATACCAGCCTTCCTTGGCTCCGAAACCCTACTTGACGCTTACGTTATCCTCTCTCTAATCACCGCCTTCGTCTCCGTCACCCTCCTCACCTGGGCCCTCTCCCCCGGCGGATCCGCCTGGTGCAACGGCCGAAACCGAGCCGCCGGCGCCGCCGTCCCCATCCCCGGCCCACGCGGCCTCCCCGTCATCGGAAGCCTACTCGACCTCAGCCGCGGCCTTGCCCACCGCCGCCTCGCCGCCCTCGCCGCGTCCGCCGGCGCCCGGACCCTCATGGCCTTCAGCCTCGGCTCCACCCCGGCGGTGATATCCTCCGACCCCCGCACCGCCCGGGAGATCCTCGCCTCCTCGGGCTTCGCCGATCGGCCCGTCAAGCAGTCGGCCCGCAGCCTCATGTTCGGCCGCGCCATCGGCTTCGCTCCAAGCGGCGCCTACTGGCGCCTTCTCCGCCGCATCGCAGCCTCCCACCTCTTCTCCCCCCGCCGCGTCGCCGCCCACGAGCCCGGACGCCTGGCCGACTGCGCCGCCATGATCCGGGCCGTCGCCGCCGAATCGGACCGCGGCGGGCCGGTCCTCCTCCGGCCTCACCTCCAGGCGGCTGCTCTCAACAACATCATGGGCAGCGTTTTCGGGCGGCGATATGACCCGGCCCGAGACGGCGCGGAGCTGGCCAATCTCCGGGACATGGTCAGTGAAGGGTTCGAACTTCTCGGCGCCTTCAACTTCTCCGATTACCTTCCGTGGCTTTCCTACTTTTACGACCCTCACCGTATTGTCCGCCGCTGCCAGGCCCTCGTGCCACGTGTCCGAAATTTCGTCGCCGCTATCATTGATCAGCATAAGCTGAAAAGGTTGTCCGGAGCTAATACGTCCGATAACGCTGATTTCGTTGATGTCTTACTTTCCTTGGAGGGCGACGAAAAGCTTGATGAAGATGACATGATCGCCGTTTTATGGGTACTTTTTCCATTTCATTATATTTGGTTATATTAAATATATATGATTAATTAATTTATTGATTATTTTTTTACATTTTTTTAATTGCAGGAGATGATTTTCCGTGGAACGGACACGACGGCGCTTCTGACCGAGTGGGTGATGGCTGAGCTGGTGTTGCACCCCAAGGTACAAGACAGGCTTCGTGAGGAGCTACTCGCCGCCGGCGCCGGCGCCGACCTGGCGGCGCTGCCGTACCTTCAGGCCGTGGTGAAGGAAACGCTGAGGGTGCACCCGCCAGGGCCCCTTCTCTCGTGGGCCCGCCTCTCCACGGCGGACGTCCACCTCAGCAACGGGATGGTGGTTCCGGCGGGCACCACCGCCATGGTCAACATGTGGGCCATCACCCACGACCCGGAGGTTTGGTCCGACCCGCTTGAGTTCAGGCCTGAGAGGTTCCTGGCGGCGGAGGGCGGCGCTGACGTGGACGTCCGCGGCGGCGACCTGAGGCTGGCGCCGTTCGGGGCTGGTCGGAGGGTTTGCCCAGGGAGGAGCCTCGGGATGGCCACGGTGGCGCGTTGGGTGGCGAGCCTTGTCCGGAGCTTTGAGTGGGCAGCTGACCCGGCGGCTCCGGTTGATTTGTCAGAGGTTCTCAAGCTGTCTTGTGAGATGAAGTTCCCTTTGTCCGCTGTGGTCTTGAAGCGTGGTGACGTAATCTACTAAGGCTTGTTTGGTTCATTAATTATGGAACTTTAATGTTATGTAGGGAAATTATCACATGACTTTGTAATTTTATTTGTGTTTTGGGTGTTTTGGACATGGGAATGAATGAGTTTGGTGAGGAGATTTTGTGGGGGAGGGGTATGTCTAGTGATAATTAGCTAAGTGTGTTATTTTGGTCAAAGATGTTTGTTTCCATTATGGTTGCTACCTATCTTGGCTCCCAATTTTGATATGGTTTTGGTCTATTGGAGTTGGTATTTTCCAAATCTTGAATATGTATCTATGTGATTTCTATATTCTGTCTTATTGTGAGTGGGTAGAAATTTCAAATTGAATGATGAGGTCAATGTTTGCTAGCATCTCCAATAGTCTTGAAAGACAATACCTTTTAGTTTTTAACTCTTGTCAATTAATGATTATAATGTTAATTTACATAGAAATTTGAATCAACCTATGCTCTCCAATGCATTAATTTGATAAGAAGCTATTTGTATTGGTGGACTAATTCAAATAGTTTATTGATGCAAGAATAATAAAAAATTAAATTAAATATAAAGTAAATTGATAAGTCTCATATTTAATATGGTGTTAAATATTAGAAAGTGAGTTTATATTGTTAACATTAAATATCATCTATTTCATCATGAAAAATTATACGACAAGATGCATTGAAAAATAAATTAACAAACTTTCAAAACTTGATGATATGAGAGATTTTTTTATAATGTTAAAAGCATGGTTTTGAAAATCAGTTCGGACTGTCCGGTTCAACCGTTTGGACCGAGAATCAGCCTTCATTCTGGTCCAGATTATCAGCCTTCATTCTGGTCCAGTTTGCCACATCAAATCGCCTAGCATTTGAACTAGTCAAAAATTATTCGAACCGGTGAACCGGAACCGGTTCGAACGGTTCGCGGTCCAAACTTTTGAATTTGAAATGTGTTGACTGAAAAGTTGTTTAAATAACACACATTTTTTAATTGTGTTTCCAATGTGGGATATGTTCTCTTGCTAAAATTATTGGGCCAAGATTGGGCCTTACAAGCAATATTATACTCATTAAAAATAATGTACTATTTTTTTAGTTGGACTATCTTTTGGGCTATATCTAATTCCTAATTTATTAAAAAAGAAATAAACAAATTATTGTTGTTTGTTATGTACGTTATTTTTATTTTTTTAATCAATAACAAAAAATTTAAAATGTGATTTAAGATGAAACCATGGTTGTTTTTATTCTCTCTATTTTGTAACTTAAATATAGATTAAAATTTTAAATATAAAAAATAAAATTAAAAAAATTGTAAACATTAATCAACATTGTCGGTTGTGTCTATTATTGAGTTATTATTTAAAAAAATATCATACACTATAAAATTAATAATAAAAATATATATAATTATATATTATACATATAAAATAAATCAAAAATTATATATTAATTAAACTGGTTTGACCATTGGTCCAACAAGTGAACCATTAAACCTGTAGTTTCACCGATTTGATGATCGGTTCGATTTTCAAAACCATAGTTAAAAGTCATATTGGAGATGTTTTACTAATTAATGGTAATGTTTTATTATTTTGAATAAATTGCATTTGGTCCTTTCTTGTCTGACTTTGTATGGTTTGATTTTAATGACATTCCCCCACTATATCCACATGAAGCAAGTATTTATCCCGAGTCTGCATAGATAGTTTCTTACATTAATTTTTGGTAGTGCATGTTGGTTTGACTTTCTTAAACTTCTTTCACTTAATAGAGGATGACTGAAATTCACTTGCGTTTTACAACTTTCTTTTCAAAGTCTTCCCGTCATTTAATTAAATTAATGGTATGATGACCTCCTTGCCAACCAACGTAAACATAGACAACCAATCATCCAAAAACTCAAAAGTCATGATTGAATTTAATGGAAAATGATGTTTTTATTATTATAATATTTTTTTTCCAAATATAGTTGCATACACCCAAAAGTTTTGAACCTTATAAATATTAGTTTTGAACCTTATAATAATATTTAGGGGTGCTTGTTTATCACTTATTTCACTCACTTGTAATTTATACTCAAAATTTAATTTAACTTTAATTTAATTTTATTATCTTTAATATTATTTATATAATTAAATAATACAAACCAATCATTCTTACACATCACATCAACTTTAATTCACTATTCATCCACTCACATAATTTTAACTACCTATAATTTCCAATCATTTTCAATCATTTATCTCATACTTTTACATGAAAACAATTTTAATTATTTTATTTTACATATTATGGTAATATATTCTTAAAATCCCACTAACAAATAACCATACAACATTTTTCAAAATTAACTCTGGTTAACCAAAATAACTCATTTTGGACGAATATTTTGTAAACAAGCGAGCCCTTAATTTATTGTATTTTCAGTAATTATATCAAATATAAGATTATTGATGGGCAATCGCCCACGACTCTTAATGACAGGATTAAGAGAGTTTTAAATTTGATATTATGAAGAATCAATGTTATTTATACTGTTTTGATGGTGAAAAGCGAGAAAAGTAAACCAAGATTTCACATATCAATTGGGTGGTCGTGATGAGAATGTGGTACACGATCATTCATCATATTGGTAAGGAGAATGTTTCTCCAAAAACAGAACTAACAATGAGTTTTTTATAGAGGTGACTCGTTGGTGAACTTTCGTATGTTCTAGTGTTGTTGTATTGCTAGTGTTCGTGTTTCTTGTTTTTTCATTGTCCTGCTATATGAGGTGCTAAGTGCCTCATTTTTATGCAGAAAAAAAGGAGGAAAGTAATTGTAACTGATTGCCACCTTGATAGCTAGGTGAGTGACATGTTGTGCCATGCAAATATTCGTTGTTTGAGGATGTGATGTACGCTCTTCAAGTCTGCAGGAGTGCATGACCTGTTTTAGAGGATAACCCGTTAACACGTGAATAGAGTGCTCGAGAAAATAAGGGTGGAGCTTCTGGGATGAAATGACAAGGGCATAAGCCAGTTTTTCCATTAGAGTGTACCTTAGTTCGACATCGTACATATCATGACTGATAAAGTATATAAAAAGTTACATCCCTTAATCGTCACGTATTAAGGCAGAACTTGATATGGGATACTACACCAAGGGAATAAACCAGTCGAATGGGCCGAGCGAGATAACTGGTCGAGCGAATTCCGAACAGATTGGTCGTGGCTGAACACCGAGGTACTAAGAGCCTCTGATCAGGAGATAGATTAAAGGAAAATCTCGGCACATGGAGAACAAGTCAAGCCAGGACTCATGTATAACCTGGTCGAAGCTTGACCTGTAGCACAAATGGGCATCTGATCGACCAAAAGTCAGACTCGTAGCAGCCAGCGCTCCACCTCAAATTGACTTAGAGTTGGTCGAACCCTCAAAGGCAAGATAGAATCTCAGGGAATCTGAGCCCCACATGGGTAAAACCACATGACACCACCTCACTGGTCCACCCCTCATAACTGCATCTGACACATTCTGACATAGCAATCATACTATCGGACAGCTGGGGGCAGCCATCTCATCACATCCGGGCAACCTTCTAGAAACAAGCACCTCACCCCTATTATAGGGGTGAGGTGTGTATTTTCAGCCATTACCTTCATATTACTCTTGAGAGTTCATCTTCTACACATACTCATTTACGCATTGAAGGCTATCCACCGAAAAATTCCTTCGGTGTGAGAGTTTTTGCAGGTACAAGGCGTTCTACCAGCGAGGAAGCGCGAGGGCGAACCAATTTTCCAGCCGATCGAGGGTTCTGACTTACCATTTTGGCACCGTCTGTGGGACTTTCATTCGAAAAGTTGTGTTAAAACCTTCAGAGCTATTTCATCCATGGCGGATAAAGTTACGAGGAAAAATTAGCAGCCGTCGTTCGATGAAGCGTGGACGAAGACGCGGTCTTTTGGAGTTGGTCCTCCTCCGGGCTTCTCTGGATCTTCTCAAACCCCGATAACCCCAACTTCTATCCCTCAAGGTTTTGGAAATTCATCGACGGTTCCTGTAATAGAGGTGGGCTCGAGGCAAGAGGCTCGAGCAGCGCAAGGGACAGTGGTAAGCGCACAATCACAACCATATGCAGTCGGAGTTTCTGCCAATGGGAGTGGTAGCGCCAGTGCAGGTGCCACCGAGAGCGGAGGTGGAACGACTTGGTCAAAAGGTGGTGGCAATGACAAAGAAGAAAATGGAGAGGATTTTTACAAATGTTGCGTTGCAGCAAGCCACACATCATACTTCACATGCCACTACTGCACCGACCGCGGTGGTAGGCGCACAACAAAACACGGAGGAGGATGCATCGAGATTTGGAGAAGATGGAGCCCCAAGGGATTGAGGCGTGAAGAGGTAGCCGAGCAATTGCATCAACTGCAGGCCAAGTTTAATGGTAGACCAGCGGGACGTGCTCGAGGACACCCCTTCTCGAGAGAAATTTTGGAAGCACCATTACCAGCCAACTTCAGGGAAACCAGCTTGACGTATGATGGGTCAACTGACCCGTCGAGACACGTGCGGTCGTTTGAAAACATGGCGGTGTTGCATGAATATTTCGATCTGGTGAGTTACAGGGTGTTTCTTTCAACTCTGAGGAGAGGAGCACTCAATTGGTTTCATCAACTTCCCTCAGGTTCGATAAAGGATTTTGAGAACTTTTCTGAGAAGTTGAATTAGTATGCTAGTGTGGTGGCTCAAGAAAAAGAAAAAAAAGTATTTGCCATTGATGGCAATGAGACAGGAGGAAGGGGAGTCTCTGAAGAAATATGTGGCACGTTATAACCAGGTGTGTATAGAAATTCCTTCAGCTTCTGACGCGGTTATGGCTGTGTTTGGTATACCGTAAAGCTAGCTTATAGCTTATTTAATTAGCTTATAAATTTGTATGATTTCAATAAGTTTTGTTTGGTAACATGAACTTTTTTAAAAAGCTCGATCGAGCTTATTTGAAAAGCTTGTGATACAAGCGTTTTGAAAAAAACTTCTATCAGCTTTTACTTTTATTCCATTTTGATATTATTTCTTTCCTTACTATTATAATTTATATAAAATTTTTAGTTATTTCATCCCTATATTCTCTCTCTCCTTAGGAGTGGGCACGGTCCGAGACGGTCCGGGATTTGACCTATCCTGGTACTTGTCCCGTTTTTTGAACCGGTCGGGGAACGGTCCGGGATGAAACACCGTCCAAAATGGATCGGTATCAATCGGGACCGGGACNCAAATGCAATGGTAATTATTTAGTTATTTTTTTGGGCCAAGTAGAATTGGGCTTCTAAATATTACAATTTACAACATACAAATACAAATGGCCAAAAAAATAATAATATTTTTGTATTTTATATAAATATAA